CACTTTTTTTTTAAAGATTTTTATTTATTTATTCATGAAAGACACAGAGAGAGAGAAAGAGAGGCAGAGACACAGGCAAAGGGAGAAGCAGGCTTCATGCAGGGAGCCCGATGTGGGATTCAGTCCCGGGTCTCCAGGATCACACCCCTGGGCTGAAGGCAGGCGCTAAACCACTGAGCCACCCAGGGATCCCCTACTCAGCTTCTAATATGACATGTGTTGAGTGAGGTGCTCTAGGAATTACATAAAACACTGTTTTAATTTGTTCATGCATTCATTCATTGAACATTTTCTTGAGCCCTAAAGAATCAGATTCTGGGTTTGGGGTTCAAAAAAACTGAGTTAGGGTTTCTCTCCTCAAAGCACATAATGAAATAAAAGTGATAAGACAGTGTGGTAATTTCAATGATCTGGGAATGGATCCATCCAGGCATTGTGAGAAAGGCTACTTCACCAAACCTTTCTAGATTGGGAAAAGCTTCACAGCAGGTGGGATACTTAAAGATTGAGTGAGGGGCTTAAAGTCTACTGGAAAGATAAGTCCCCTGCTAGGGTTTGGGTTGTGTTTGGTTATTAAGCCAATTCTGTGAAAAGGAACCACTAAGTTCTGTGTATTACCCTTGACTCTCCTATTCCTTTCAGTCATTCACACAACACTTTTCATTCTTCTGTTTATTTTAGGGGCTTTAGAACCAGCAGAATAACTGAAAGATAGATGTGATGATATTATAGTTTTGCTTCTGGGACCTAATTACTGCACAAATGCATATTTCTGCATTCCAAAGTAGCAATAATAACATAAATACATAAAAATAATCTCATGATAGTATGACACATTACAGAGTGTTTCTCAATCCATCATTTCATTTACTTCTTATAGAATAGCTTAGTGCTTGTGGGTTTCCTGAGTGTCTTCAGCACTGTTACCGATAGATAAGAGCCTAAGAGTTAGCAGTGAATAATTATGTATGGAGGGTTTGCAAAGAATTTTTTCTCTCTTCATTCCAAGGTGATCACGCTGCATTTTCTGATTTTACTTAGATCCCAAGACCAGGTCTGCCCATTATGAGGCCACTAGGAAGGCATCCTTTCACCACTTTGTGTCTCAGCTTTGTTACTTGTCAGATAGGAATATTGCTGCTGTTACTAACAATAACACCGACTTTGCCTCACTGGGTTGAGATGAGGAGTTAAATCATTAATTTGTGTGAGTGCAGAACGTATATAACCAGTCACAATTATAAATCTAAAATGCACCTTTTGAGTGACCAGATTATCAGCTGCTTCAGTCGAAATAAGTTCAACTTAAGTTTTATTTGTTTCTGCATGCTTTCTAAGGTAGCTTCATGTTGTACTCTCCTCTGTTTAGCTCCAAGTGACTGCAGGCAAGTGCTGAATGTTCAGTAAGCACTTGTTGAGTGAAGTTTTTTTTTTTTTTTTTTTTTTTTTTTAATACTGACCTTTTAAAGTCCAGCGTTGGATATTTGTAAGCTACTTATATTTTTGCTTAGGATTCCTCAAGCCTCTCATTTAATTTCCAGATTATAAGTTCCACTGATAGAACCCTTATAAATATCACATTAAGAAGCTGAGCATTACCTTTAGGCCAAAGCAATTTACTTTTTAAAAATCTGATTAATTTCAACACAATCAGCCGGGATGTCAGAAGATCTCAGTGCCTCTGATAGATGCTGACAGGTGAGGAAATTAAAATCAGGGAGGGAAGCAATTAAATACTGGCAAACATTACTTTAATGAGACAACCAAATCATTCATAAGCCATGGAATATGTTGTATTTTTGATAAGTATCTTAGGGTGGCGGGTGAGAGAGTGCATTTAAAAATGCTCTTTGTATGGGATCTGGTGATGAGAGTAGAGGCCTTTCTGTGTTAGTTACCTATTGCCTTTGGCCTGGTCTGACATTTCCATAGTTTTTGGAGACAGACTTCCTGATAATTGTATTAAAGATTATGCCGTTGTTTAATTTAAGCAAATCTAGTATATGATTTAATTTGAATAAGTAAATAATTTAAATCGATCTTACCTCTACCACTACCTTAAAACTCAGACAGAGACACCTGGGTGGCTTAGTGGTTGAGCCTTTGGCTCATGGTGTGATCCCGGGGTCCTGGGATCGAATCCCGCATCAGGCTCCCCGCAGGGAGCCTGCTTCTCCCTCTGCTTATGTCTCTGCTTCTCTCTCTGTGTCCCTCATGAATAAATAAATAAAATCTTAAAAAACTCAGACAAATGCACAAAATCCTTGACAAAGTAATTTTTGGCCCTTTCACAAGTGATTTAGGGGTAACCGCAGTCAGGACCTATGAAAAGAGAAACCTAGAAAAAAATGCATATTTCATACAACTTCCAATTCAGAAGACTTGGGAATTAAAGTACAAGAGCAGAATCTAGGCACTTGATCCCGATTAAGCTCTTCTTTTCAAGATAACACCCCTGTATTCAGGAAGGACATCTGAGACCAGAATGCTAACAAGTTACCCACTTGTTGGCTCAGTGCAAGTTTCTACAAGGCTCTGTTATGTTGCTCATTGGTATTGTAGCACTTGTAAAATATCAAGTATTAAGAAATATCTTTACATTGACCACAGTGATTCTGGTGTTGGTTGGTTGGAATTTGTGTTCGTAATGTCAGGATCATCATTGTAGAATTGTATTGCTAAAAAATTGTCCTGGGATGCAGGGGTCAGTTCAGAAGATACCATGGTTTGTGAAATACCTGTTTTCTCTGCTCTCTTCATTTCTCATATTCTTACATTCCTTTCTGCCTTTTTCCTTGTTCCCCATCATATTTCTTTCTTCTCTCTCTTTTTCATTACCTTCATGTATTCACTGCTGTTTTCCCCCAAATACAGTGTAAATTATCAATTATTCTGTACTGGTTCCAAGTTGACTTGGTGAATCTTGCTTTTGCATATACTTTAATTAATAGGTTGAAGTTTTGCAAATTAAATGTTGAGTATACAGGTTTCTTTATTTTGGGTTGAAATTGCTTCTGAAGATGAGAATTATTATTTTTTTTTTTTTTTGAGAGAGAGGATGGGTGGTTTGACCAAGGATGCAGACTGCCAGGATCTTGGTCAGCACTTATAAATACAGAGGCGGCTAAGGACGACTGACTTGCTTTATTAACCAGATGCTACAGTGGGGTTTGCCAGTTGTCCAAGATACCTTTATGAGTCTAGTGGAGAACTCCATTACATTAGGTAATACCCATGAGTTTTGGGGGATGCTTGACACTCCAATCATGTGAGGGGGATGATGAACTTCTTAGCTAGGAGGCTTCAGCTTTTGTACTGCTTAACATGAGACTTCTTGATGAGAGAGAATTCAGGGGCGCTGGCTTCTGTTGTTTCTGTGGCTTGTGTTTTGAGAGTTTGCCAAAGATGTTGCATCTCTGAAACTATACTGGGGAGAGCTGAGAAAGTCTGCATAGTAACCCTGCATCAAACACTCCTTTTGCCCTAGCTTCATAATGTGTCACTTCTGGTTAGACCACAGATATGAAGTCTTCTCTCTCTCTTTCTTTTTTTTCCTTTCACTCACTAAAGAAACAGGGCTCAATACTAAATGGCTTTGGTGCCTTGACACTTTTGTATGGTATGTGCTCCCAAATGGGAGACTGCATCACGTAATAGAAGGGTGCTTACTGATTTTGGTGTTCAGATTCAAGGTTCCATTTTTATCTGATCCATATTAACCATATAATCTTTGAAGTTTGGTTTCCTTATTGGTAAAATTGGCAATAAAGATGATTAATGTTTTGATTTTGGTGGCCTATGCAAGACTTTCTTGCAGGCTGCATTATCAACCATGTTCTATTTTTAACCTTATTTGAGTCCTATATGTTCTTCTGTTGGAAGCTTCACCTAAGGGACAAACTTTAGGCACAAAGGCACAGACTTTAAAATGATTTGTGATGTATCTGAAGTTCCTTCACTTAAAGCAGCATCTCTTGCTTTTGGGCGTTGAGAGGAAATTTAATTTTTAAAATTTGAGGTGTTGCCTTTTGAAACAAACATTCTTTGTTTCAAGAATGTTGTTAGGTGAGGCCATGGGAGATACACATTGATAATTATTGCGGTGTTTTAAAACTAGGCATATGAATCAAAGAAATTCCCAACCCAGAGATATTCTCTAGCACTGTGTGCTTCTAATGTCATTCTTTGATCAGATAAACATGGGCTCATTGGAAGAAATATTAATGTTTTGTATACCACCACTGTCCATATCTATAGATATGAAATAATGGAGGAAAATCTTCCAAAAAAAAAAAAGTGTGACTGAGTTTGGCTGTGAAGTAGATATTAAAATCCTTATTTACATGTAAGGAAATTGACACTCAGAGAGTTTAAGTAATTTGCCTAAGGACATTGTTAAGAGGAAGACCAAATCTCCAAATCTCACAAGGTTCTAAATCCCTTGTGTTTTTGCTACTATCTCATGTCAATCAAATAGTTGGTCTTATTTTACTCTTCCCTCCTCCACCCAGTCTACTGAATTAAGTCAATGAGTTGTTTCTATTTTCCTAACCTAATAGCCCAGGACAGACTAAGCTATAAAGGAAAAATCACTGAAACAACAGGCGGAGTCTGGAGAGTCCAAACTTGTACCCTACTACGTATTATACTGTGTAGTCTTGGGCAAGTTACGCACCTTTCTGAACTTTAGTTTCTGTATCTATAAAATGACAACAATAATAGTCATATACAATATATTTGTGAAGTTAATCATGAGAAATATGCTAGTTCCTATCTCCTTCTGTCTTGTACCTCCACGAATTTTTGTTTCCTCACCTGTGAAGTGAGTAGACCAATCTCTTCCTGTTTCTTTGCTGGGTTGTTATGGATTGAAGCAAGATAATGAATGTGAAAATGTTTTGCAAAACAAGAAACTGCTATATATATATAGAGAGAGTTTATGACAAGATACAGAATACAGATTAGTACCTAAGAGTAACGTGTACCTATTTCATTTACAGACGCTGGCATTGTAGTTTGCTGAATCTTACATCCACTGACCATTCCAGGAGCTAGCTATCTGAGGTAAGAGAGGATCGGCACCTTTTTATTTATGAAATGCTCATAAGTGTCCTAGCAATAATATTGAAGGTTGATTTTACTCCCAACAAAGAAATACAGAAGCATTTAATGAGCAGCAAAACCTGAAAAATGGCCAAAGCAATGAACTACCAGCTTTTTATCTTTTCTTGATTTAATTTCCCCTTTCAATTTATAGTCTTCATGGTTTAATTCCAAAAGCACAAAAATCCAGGCAACACAGGAAATTCATATTTACCAAGTATTTAAGTGTCCATAATGTGCAATGTTCTTTTTTTTTAAATTTTATTTATCTACTTTAGAGAGAGAAAGAGAGGGAGAGAGGGAGAGAGACAGAGAGAGAGAGAGAGAATCCAAAGCAGACTCCCCGCTGAGCATGGAGCCTGACATGGGGCTCCATCCCACAACTGGGAAATCACCATCTGACCTGAAACCTAGGGTCAGATGCTTAACCAACTGTGCGACTCAGGTGCCCCCATAATGTACTATGTTCCTATCTACTGCCTCTTTGTATCCCTAGCTAGCCTGTGGCAATAGGGCTTCTCTCCAGTGTCCTGGCTCTTGTTTGAGTGAAATTTTCAATACACTGGGCTGCCAGTGCTTCCTGGCTCTGAAAGGGACCAAACTCCTCTTGTCAGCTCCATCACTGTCTTTTAGCTGTCCAGTAAAGATCTGAAAAAGACATAATTCAAGGCTATAATGACAACAACAAAATGCTAAGAATACAGAGAATGAGCTAGAGGTTTTTGAACTTAGGACACATGGTATCTACAGTGCTGCTCTTCTGGGGGGCCAGTGCGAAGGAGCTAGGCCTTTGGTGAATGAACATTCTCATCGTGATTTTGTCAATAAAATAGAGGCAAGAAGAAAATATGTAAAGGAAGCATGAGAGTAGCAAAACTTGCAAGATAGGAGTTTTCTTTTGTGGCTAACTAGCCAATATTTGCACTTCCCAGTTAGGTCTGCAGTGTTCTATGTGGTCTTTGAGAAGACTTGGATGAAAAAGAAGTGAAGAGGTCAATATGGTGTTCCTAACTACAGGCCCCAAAGTATAGCAACTTTGTGGAAGATTTCAGCATTTAAAGAAGATATCAGCATTTAAAATACTGTAGACATTTGTTTTACTGAATATTTCAGCAAATATTTCATGTTATTTACATGATCTTGAACTGCCAGTGTGGCTTCGGTTACACAGACCTTTGAAAATATTGAAGTTTGTTGTCATGTTTGTCAGAGTTAATAGTTGAGAACTGAGTGGACATTGTGGTGTTATATTGATATGATTTTTTAAATTAATGTGGTTTTTAAAGCTAATATTCACCGTAAGAACATGCCATGTAGGGCAGCCCGGATGGCTCAGTGGTTTAGTGCCGCCTTCGGCCCGGGGTTAGATCCTGGAGACCCGGGATCGAGTCCCATGTCAGGCTCCCTGCATGGAGCCTGCTCCTCCCTCTGCCTGTGTCTCTGCATCTCTCTCTCTCTCTGTGTGTGTGTCTCTCATGAGTGAATAAATAAACTCTTTGGGGAAAAAAAAAGAATATGCCATGTACAAACAAGGGGGGTCATGTATGGACTGTGAAACGCCTCTATAATTAAATAAGACAGAGCAGCCACTTATTGTTTAGATTTTACTCTCTGTCCTACAACAGAGAAGGTTATAAAAACCTGTATTTTGGTCAGGAATGATTCCTGCCCATTTTTGGGTCCCTCTCTTGTCCGTAAAATACTCCAGCAAAAACTCCTTTCTAATTTATTTCATGTATTTTCATGGATAAATCTATCAGAAAAGAATGTCCTGTAGACATGTACTATAGTTTTTGATAGCCCTGTTAGGCAGAGACCTAAGTGGTTCCTTCAGAGAAGCTGCAGGTATATTAACTTTTCTCCAAATGCCAGTTGTTAAATATTAATAGAGTAAGCTTTGAAACTATGTAACCATGCCCCCCTTCTGCACTGAAACCCATCTTGAAACTGCAAATTGGAGTTTAAGCAAGCCTTGGGAGGTTAAGAAATGATTGCTCCTGAGACAGAGGGGTTTCATCTATATCTGATTATCCATCCAGCTGTCCATCCATCCAGCTATCCATCCATCCATCCATCCATCCATCCATCCATCCTTCCTCAATATTTTGGAGGTGGGGATTGGTGGGCAGGGAAGGATAAAAACTTCTCAAATAACCTTTAGGAGGTAGAGAAGTAAATATTCTGGGGGCATGTTGTAGAAATTTAAAATCATCTTGTAATAATTGGTATCAGTGGCAGTAATGAAGAAAGAATAACAGTTTAAATAAATAATTAGACTTGACAGTAGATGTGTCAACAGGTACCCACTTAATGAGTGTAATCATGTTTTTCTCTGCTTTCAACGTTGATCCACTGACTGTGGTGTGTTCCCCTGTTCCATTTCCAAACCAAATCTATTTAAAGCTGCACTTCATGGAATCTGAAACAGTATACCCTGTTTACTATTTAGAGCTGATACCCAATGTTCTGGAATAGGCAAGATCTGTACTTGAACAAGAATAGGCTTCTGGCCTCCTGTAGATGGTTGATTATCCTTGTTTTCCACAGGGTGATTCATTAGCAGGGATGAATAATACTGAATTAATTATCATGGACTTGTCTCTATTGCTAGAGTGGATTGTTTATTATAATTTGATGGAAACAGCCCTAGTCTACCTTAAGTCAAATTAATCAGTTACTGCTTTTTTTAGGTGGAGGTTGAGGCAGTAGTTATACATGAAAGTGCTTCTTAGTTACCTAGATAGAATAGCATTGTTTTGGGGAGCGAAGCCATGTGTTTTATGTTGTGTTGTGTGAACCAGACGCCGTGAGAATCTAATTATGATCCCAGCTCTGGCTGTGTCACCTTGGCAAGTCACTTTCCCTCTCCAGGGTCCAGTTCAGTATCTAACAACAGATGGAGTTGGACCAGTTGATCATGGCATTACTTCTAGTCAAATGTCCTATTGTCTGTGTTTGCATTTCTTAGCCAGTCTTTTCTTCCTCCTGCTGTTACTTTTCTGAAGTCATAGGAAAGTCTTATGACTCTACCACAGAACCGGTGCTTGGAAGTAGGTATTTCTCTATTAGTTTTGTGTGTGTGTGTGTGTGTGTGTGTGTGTGTGTGTGTTTACATAGCAGAAGAGCAGTTAATGATTTGAATTATATCTACACTAGGGTAGGATGTTTATGCACTGATCATCCCTAACCTCCAGCAAATTCAGTTTCTGGTTAGAAAGGAAGAAAAAAAAGTCCATCTTCCTCCATGTTTCTCTACTCCATCATCTGGGTCTCATTTTTAGAGGCTTACCCGCTGGTCAGCGTTTATGGGTTCTTCTTCTGTTTGACTTCTGTAGGTTGAGTCATTGACCTGTAAGGAGAGGTCAGAATGTCAAAACCAGAGGAGACTTTAGGAACCAATCTAGCCAGGTTACCTCATTTCAGAGACTGAGGTTTGGGATCAAGGTGCTAGTGGCAGATCCTGGCCTAGAACTTTTCTTCTGACTCCATAGTCGTATCTCTGTTTTAGGAGAGATATCTCTTTCTATAAACTGTCCTTTCTCTTCCCAGTATTTAAAGAGCCATTGTTTTTCAGGTAAAACCTGTCTCAGTGTCAAAGCAAGAATATGAGATGCTTTTAAAGCAAAAATGGATTCCAGCCATCTTTGTTAATTCCGTGGGGCAGTAGAATATTCTTACTGGCTGGCTTCTGCTGTCTGTTTTTTATTAGGAGACTATGGATTCCCCTGCAGTCCTTCCTGTAAGGGATGACTTGACCCTGACATCACCTCTGTTTCCTCCACCCGCCTCCTGCCCTTTTTTGATCCAGTGAATTATAGGAAGCTGAGGATGAGCACCTAGCTGGCTGTTTACTGTGCATAGTGGGGAACATTAATAAAGAGAAGACAGATGAAGGATTAATAAGCAAGAGGACAGGAGAGTAATAGCCAACACAGTGAAATCTAGTTCAAGGCCTGTAATTCCCAGGTGCAGTGCTACAGGAGATTAATAGCAACATCTCTCATTCTTTCAGACTGTCTCTCTGCCTTGTTCTTATGGGACTGGGCTGGGACTGAGAAGCAGCTGGATTGATCTTTGCCAAACCAAACTCATGTTTTCATGAAATTTCCAGGTCCAGAGGAGAGAGTCGTAATTATCCATCATTTAAAAGATAATTTAGAGGCCACTGGATCTAAGCACATATTTTGGACCTTCTGATACTGAAATACAGAGTGTGGAAATCATTTTATCCAGTCTGAAGTTCAAATTCTGGCTCTAATTACTATGCTTCGACTCTGTTGAAGCAATGACCTCGCCCCGAACCTCAGTTTCTCCATCCATGCAATGGGAAGAGAAGGGGGGTGGAATAGATGATGTCAGAGGTTCTCTCAGTCCTGATTTTCATGAGTCTCTGATCAGTCCAGGGTCCCATAGCAAGTGTGCATCTGAGCCAGGTCCTGAATCCAGAACCGCCTTTCTGTGGTTTGGATTGTGCATCATCATAGCTTCTACTACCCATGGGGGCGCTAAACAGTGTATATGCATCCTTCAGCCTTTTAAAAATTAAATACACCCTTTTTTTCCCTTCCGTTGACAGGTCTCTTTTTGTCAAGGGACTTGTCTAAGGCAGTAGTTTTTAATTTGTGTGTGGCGCCTCTGTGTGTTTATGGTGGACAGTGTAGGGAAGAGGATTATGGAATGTTTAAAAATTTAGGTGAATCTATGAAATAGTTAAAAATGCACATCTGCATAAAACGTTGTCTATAATTTTAGGTGGTTTGTAGACCTTCTGAAGGCCAATGTAGATTCTAGGTTAAGCAGAAGATGTTCTTCAATATGGAAGGCCTGAGGTGACATTTGGCTGACATACATATCCTGTTGCTGTTGGATTTTTCCACAGTTCACCTGTGGTTCTACTCTGAGTGTCAGGCTCATTTATAAGCATGACCCTGGACAGTTAAATATCTCAGACTGTTGAGTTG